GTAAAAAGGATTCCCCCCCCCCCTAAAGGGAAAAAAAAAACACACCTACTGTTGGTATTCACCTACAAGTTGGAACAGCTCAACCCTGAAGACATCCTAACTTTATCGTTGGACGAGTTGATAGAGGCAGGCAATCGAGTAGGGAATAATAAGGCGCCGGGATTGGACGGAATCCCTAACATTGTCCTGAAATCAATTCTTAGGGCAGCACCGACATTATTCCTGGACGTTTACGATAGATGCCTGAAGGAAGGGACTTTTCCCCAGAAGTGGAAACATCAACGGCTAGTGCTACTTCCGAAGGAGAAAAGGCCGCCGGAAGAACCGTCATCGTAACGACCACTCTGCATGTTAGACACGGCCGGCAAGATACTCGAGCGCATAATTCACCAGAGAATAGAGGCTGTAGTCGATCCACTCCTGGCAGGGAACCAGTTTGGTTTCCGAAAAGGACGGTCAACTTCAGATGCGATCAAATTGGTTGTTGATATAGCCAAGGATGCAATCGCCGAAACGAGATGGAAGGGTGGAAAGAAGAAATACTGCTTGGTGGCTGCTTTGGACATCAAAAATGCCTTCAACTCCGCTAACTGGGACTGCGTTATGCGGGCTCTAGAGGAAAAAAACGTACCAGGATACCTTCGCAGAATAGTAGCGAGCTATTTTACGAATAGGGTCCTGAAATATAACACGAAGAACGGTACGGCAGTGTATGAAATCTCCGGAGGAGTGCCACAGGGATCAATCATAGATCCTCTGCTATAGAACATTATGTATGATTGCCTCCTGAGAATAGCATTGCCTACGGGAGTCAAGCTTGTAACATATGCGGATGACGTAGCTGTCGTGATCGTCGCAAAGCACCTCGAAGAAATAGAAATGGCATTTGATATTACATTCAGACGAGTCAATTTGTGGATGGACATAATGAACTTGCAAGTAGCCAAGCATAAAACCGAGGCAGTGCTCATTACCAGTAGAAAAACGGTAGAAACTATCAAGTTGAGAGTCAGAGAACAAGAAATCACATCACAACCATTTATCCGTTATCTGGGAGTGATGCTGGATGCCCGACTCAACTTCAAGCAGCAGGTGGAACACGTCAGTGCCAAAGCGTCAGTAGTGAGGGCTAGTCTCGCACGGCTGATGCCTAACATTGGAGGCCCAATGCAGAGCAGGAGGCTACTATTATCATCAGTAGTCACATCAGTGCTCACTTACGGAATATCCATTTGGGCTGATGCACTGGAAACTCAAGAATCATAGAGAAAAGCTGGACCAGTATATCGACTAAGTGCCCTACGAGTAGCTAGTGCCTTCCGCACTATATCAGAAGAAGCAGTGTGCGTCATTGCTGGAACCCTACCTCTTAGAGTTCTAGCAGAGGAAAGACGGGCCCTATACCAACGAAAAAGGTCAACTGCACTGAGCCCTGAAGAACTTAGAATTAAAGAACGGCAGAAGAGCATAGGCCAATGGCAACTACAATGGGATGCTGCAGAGAAGGGTAAGTGGACGCACCGTCTCATACCTCGGATCGACATTTGGCTCAACCGGAATCACGGCGAGGTCAATTACTATCTTACGCAGATGTTGTCGGGACACGGGTATTTTCGAGAGTATCTACACCGCTTTAAGCACGATGACTCTTCGGAGTGCCCGTCCTGCCCAGGAGTTGCTGAAGATGCGGAGCACGTCTTCTTTGTATGCCTTCGTTTCGATCCACAGCGTGAAGAGTTGGAGAGGATCCTGAACCAGAGAATGCAACCAGATTCACTAGTGGAAGCAATGTTGTCGTCAGAAGCTACCTGGAACGCTACCAACACGTTTGCAACAGAAGTCCTCAAAGACTTGCGTTCCACCGAAAGAAGAAGAGCAAATAGCAGGAGATAGAAGGAACAAAGTTAACACCTTAGCCACCAGAAGGAAGAGCAGTAGCTAGATCCTCCCTTCACGAAGTAATGCCTGACGGCGGTTTCCATGAGGGATTAGAGGAAAGAAAAAAAAGGGGTTTTACAATTTCATGGAAATTCTGAAAAAATCTTTTTTTTTAATTTTTTTCGACAACGATATCTCATGAACGAATCAACCGATTTTTATAGAACTGGTGGCGATCGACGTGATTTTTTTTATGTTAAGAGCTGATTATTTTTTTTAAATCGATCTGTAGAGTCGTTGAAAAATTATTCCAAAAAAACCACATTTGAAAAAAATTTTTTTTTTAGTTTTTTTAGGATTTCTTGGAATCTACCGGTCCGAACCGGTTCAAAATCACAGGAAATCTGAGTTTGATGAAACTTTTTGAAACGCCACTAATTTGGTTTCAATCGGTCAAGCCGTTCAAAAGTTATAAGCAATTTACATACGGCCACACACACTCACACACATACATACAGATACACATACATACAGAAATACGGACATCATCGCGGAAACATTCGGGGACGCTTCCTAGGGCGCTTCCTCAAAACGTCAACATCCGTTGGAAACTCGATTTTCGAAAAACGAGATAAAACCAATAACTTCCTAACTTTTGAAAATTTGTATTTTTCTTAGCGAGAAGTTAAAAAATGGTCTAAATTTGACGGAAAATTCAATTAAAATAACTACCCTCAATAATTTTTTACAATCTGTGGTTTGTGCAAGACTGCTCTTAATTTCAATAGCTGCTAGCGTCAAATTCTATACCTATGGGTTTTGCTACAGTCACAGATACTTGTGACAGATTTAAATTGCAAGCATCTGCTGCAAGTTTCTAGTGCAAGAAATGGGTCAGAAACCAACAAACTATTTTACTATGAACAAGTTATACACAATTCTCGAGTCTGTTTCTTTCGACACGATCTTGTGCATACATATACAGTACAGAATATTTTGTTAAAATTTACAAAGGACTTTTATACTACAATCTACTTGAACGGTGTTCGTAATCCAATAGTAACATAGAAATTTTATAATGTCAATCTCTTTATAGAATTCACAATAACTTCATGATGAAATAAAAAAATCCCAATACCAACCCGAGAAAAAACGTTTTCAAAAAATTATATGGTATTATGTTCTTTAAAAAATCAACTACGAAGTGTTGCTTCGATTAATCAAACTTCATGAAATTTTCACAATTTAGTAAAGTTATACAATACGAATTGTATTGATCTGGATTTTAATCAGTCTGAAATAATATAAAATAACTACTTTTGCACGACTCATGATGCAAAGCATCAGAGAGTACTTTACGATCGAAAAATTTTTTTCGCTGCATTTCGTCAACTATTTATTAATTATTTTTGATTTCTATTTTGTAAATGATTTTTTTTTCCTGGAATTTTATAAGGCCATTTTTAACATTAAAATTCACATAAATTATTTTTTCTTGGGAAGAATAACTAACCCAACAAAATTCCTGAATATCTTCCTGAATATTCACCGCTGTGAATAACATAGGTTTATTTTTGACTAATTTTCATTTAACTTGAATATATATTTTTGCTCACAGGATGGTTACACACGGGAGATCTCGCATATTATGATGAGGACGGTGCGCTTTTTATAATTGAACGATTAAATGAGTTGATTAAATGGAGAGGGCATCATGTACCACCAGCAATGATTGAAAAATTAATTCAAACACTCCCAGGAGTAGGTGAAGTTGCAGTTGTAGGAGTACCTCATTTAGAAGATGACGAGCAACCATTTGCATTCGTTGTGAAAGCACCAGGGTGTGATGTGAGAAATACACAATTTAATTTTTCAACAAAGTATTCATTTCACATCAAATAAAATCTTTTTTCCCATTAATCTAGGTAACTAAGGAAGAAATTAATATCCTCGTAGAAAAAAATTTACCAGACCAAATGAAACTCAGAGCAGGCATTAAGTTTATGGACTCTATACCACATACTGCTTCTGGTAAAATCAGTAAAAATGAATTGAAACAGATCGCAAAATCTTTGCAAAAAAATTAATAGTGTCAAAAGAATGTTCAACTGATTTTTTTAACATAACTAGAATTGAATTTTGCGCGCGCAAGCGCGCGCCTAACTATAGAGTTTGCATATATTTTCATGCTTATGATATATTCGACCAATCACGTTACGAATAGTTTGATGCCACATACATTTCATCTCAATTTTATATTAGGATTTAGATGCATTATCATTTAAATTAATAAAGAAAATAATCTGTCAATGAAAATCCAATATAAATTTCTACTATCCTAACCTACTTAGCATCAGGAATTCGTCATAGAATAGTCATATATTCTTATTTGATGCCCTTTTTAGTAGATTTCATAGAAATCTAACTGTTGCATTGGTCCTCATGACGGAACTTTTAAAAAATTTTGCTATATTTCGACTATACTCGTCGTGCTGAGTCAGAAAATGCATATGGTTCAAAAGTTTATATATGTATGTATATATATATTGAAACACTGAACTTTTTGTTTACTAAAAAAATCCAATTACTTAAGTCATCAAGTCCTTGCGGATATAGGTAAATGATCACTTAAGCTTCGTTTAATTGGGTTACGCTGTTCTGGGATGTTCCGCTCCCTGATTTATTAAATGTATTAATCTTTTATTAATATTGTTTGGCAAAAGTTCTCACGTGTGCCAGTTATATTGTTTTACTTACTTACAATATTCTGCGTCCTGGTTGACCCTTTTGGCTGAATATAAACGATCGTAGCAAATGGACAAGTGGATAGGATGGCAGTAATTCAGTAATGATATATAGCGATGATAACAATAAATTTAACTTTATTTCACAAAATAACACTTTAAACAAGACTTATAATGTCTCGGTAACGCAATTAATGAAATATTTAAGAACTGAATACTTGTGCTTAAAACTATAACTGATTAGATAATAATAATAAACGTGGTGAATAATCACCTAATATAAAAATAATAATATCGATAGACAATAATAAAGAATATTAAATTAAACAAGAAACTTTTAGATTATTTAAGATTCTGGTGAGTAATCACCTAATAGTAGTAATACATACAGGCATAGTGACAACATCGCGGGGGTGGTCAGGAAAGCTTCCTGTGACCTTCAAACGTCGAGATCTGATGAAAACTCGATTTTTGCAAAACGGAGTAAAAACAATAACTTCCCGATTTTTGAAAATCTGAGATTTTTAGCGGGAAGTTAAAAATTCTACCATTCACTTTATTAGATTATTAATCATTTAAAGATAATTATTAATTATTTGTTATTAGTTAAGAAAAAAAAAATATTCGCTGTCGGCAAGAATCAAACCTCTGCTTCGACAATTATTGGTCTCGTGCAATTCCACGTATCTATCTTAACATATGTTTTGCTATTATCATCAAGTGAATTTTTAGCCTCGAGCATGAGTTAGGTTGTTTATTATTATTTTATACTTATTATTCGTAGTACTTAATTGTTTGTTAATTTTCAACTTCCCGCTAAGAAAATTGAAAATTTTCAAAAATTCGGAAGTTATTGTTTTTACCCTATTTTTCGAAAATCGAGTTTTCATCAGATCTCGACGATTTATGGTCCTAGGAACCTTCCATGACTATTCCCGCAATGGTTTCCGTGCGACTGTATGTATGTGTGTGTGTGTGTGTGTGTGTGTGTGTGTGTGTGTGTGTGTGT